GAAGGCTCGCCAGGCCTTGCGTAGCCAAAGACTGCCCTATCCCACCGTTTTCATGGAGTGGCTGAAAAGGCGGTCTCCCCCGAGTCAGCCGGTTCTCAGCATGTGCCAGTTTGCACTCATTAGCTCGCAGAGGGGATTATGGCACAGGCTTACAGTGTGATACCTAAACGAGTTGGCTCCGTTGCCTATCGTAATGCCCTGACCTGGCTGGAAGGAAGGCAGCTGGAGGCCTTTAATACTTCCAACAGCTAGATGCTTTTCCTTAGGAAACAGGACAGCACACAATTAAAATCGAAGTCTGGCCAGCAGACCAGAAGAGTAGAAAGCTCAAAGTGTAATTCCTGCAATTTTGTGAACGCAGGTGCTTAAGAGATCACACAGAATCACCAAGGCTGGAAAAGACCTTTAAGATCATCAAGTCCAGCCTATGACCTAGAATGAGAAACCCTAAGTCAGTACAAACTAAGTTAGTACCTCTCAAAAAATAATAGTACTAAAAAGTCAACCGTTATTGGTTCTGTTTTGGAGGTGGTCCTGTGAGTCAGTTTTGCTCAGGAGCAGCTCTCCTTTTCTTCCTCTAGAAAGAGCTGAGGGAATCATGGAATAATTTGGGTAATGCCCTGGGTAAACTGGAAGTATAGGCAGTGAGAGGTGGACTGGACTAGACCTGTGCCTCTATGTAAGGATGCTGGAGGATTGTACATATGTGGTGAGGAAAGGACAAAATAGTTATTCTGTAGTAGAGATTTAGCTAAATTCGTTCTGCTACTTAAAGAACAAATTTATTACTGCCAAAGAACACCTGGATCATTCCAGTAGCAAAATAATTAGAATTTGAGCAAGTGTGAAAGCATTGCCTAAGACCTTCAGAAAAAAATGAAGGGTTCCTTTCTGAAAAAAAGGTGTTTGAGAACATGATGGCCTGTGATCCGTCCTGGACATTCATGCAAGTATTAAAGCATATAGCTATGGACCTAATTTAGAATGACTTTCTGTGGCTCCTGTAAATTAAGTCTGTTCCTTTAGTATCACCTGACAGGATGTAGGATTTATTAATAACATTAACTTGAAAATGCTGAAGTTGTGAAACTAACATTTAAAAAAATGTTTGATTTGTAGGGACTTATTAACACCAAGCTCAAAGTAGAATGTTTCTTAGTATTATTCTGTTCCTCCTTCCTCCCCTCCATCCTGCTCTGGGCTACAGAACAGCTTCTGTCATGGTTGGTGTCAGTGGGGTCGGCCTTGTCTTTACTTGTGCAGTTGTTCTACTTAGGGTCCGTTAAGGACTTTTATTTCATATTCAGTGAAACAGTCACATCTCTGGTTCAGATGACAGCTTGTAAACAAGTTATTTCTCAGTTATCCTGAATTGTTTCTCCCCTTCTTAAGCTATGCATGAGAAACATACATTGTGAGTACATACACCTTTCCCTAGTACACTGGGAAATGAGAAGGGTAAAGCTGCTTGACTCCTTACAGCTAGAAAGCAACAGAGAAATCAAGGCTTAAAGTTTTCTCTTGGAAAGTCTGCCTAAAGTGGAGGTTGGTTAAGCATTTTGATTGTCATACAAAGGGCTTGGGTTTAGGAATCGAGGGAATCGATTATCCCTCTCTAGAGCAATGATCTCTCTTTAGAAGGTTGAGAGGAATTTACTGGCAGTAAGAAGATTTATGGAACCTCTGTAAATTTCCATGTAGTGTGAGGCAGGCTTATATAATGGTCGCCTCCTGCAAGTTTTTTCCTGCATAAGAAACTGGAGGGAAAAAAAGTAGAGAAATCACTTGCAGTAAATGATCTTCCAAGGTATCATGTATGCTACAGAGTGCTGTCAGACAACTCTCAGAAGTTCCTGAGGAAAAAGAAAAGGCTAAAGAACTGTAACCGTGATGGTAGTGTTGCTAAGCAGCACAGTTACAGAAATCTGAAGTTTTAGTTGCAGATACCTGTGCTATTGCTTTTCCTTTCTATAAATGTACAGTGCTGATTCCATTGCCTTTTTTTGTCCTATTTTGTCTGAAATATTTTGTCAGTACAGAATTTTTTGCCTTCTCAAAACATTTAGTCTTTGGGCTGAAGAAGCAAATGAGCAACATTTTGATTAACTGACAATAATTTGTGATTCCTTAGAAATAGATTTTAAGTGTTGGTACTTGGTATGTAAGGAATTAATTTTGAAACTGTAGTTACTCGAGCCAAGTGCTTGCACTTCAACTTACAAACAATTCTAATGGTTTTCTGCCTATTGATAATTGTTTGCTTTCTCTCTCACACATTTTGGGGGACTTCATTAATTTCTCATGACTTGATTAATTTCCTTTTATGTGGCTTGGAAGCTGCAGCTAAATCTGTGGATAGGTATTTAAGGCCAGAGGGTTTATTCAGGTGTTCCAAAGTACTAACTGAAACATCATTTGGACTTAGATAAGATTGACAGTAGTTCTGAGCAGCAGAAAATAAGGTACAGAAGAAATAAACAGGTATTGTTGCCTGTGACTCCTTTACCTCCCAGCACAGAGCCATCTCACCATTCAGTGGGGACTGGGGGAGAAAGAGAAGAGTTCCCTCAGGTTTGCTTACCAGCTCTTGTTCATGAGGTGAAATGCGTCAGTGGCTTAGTCTAGTAGTGAGAACTCAAACTTGACTTAACGCTGATTCCCTCTGAGGGGTGTTAGTGAAGATTTTCAGTTTTAACTGGAAAATGATGAATTGGTCTCCCATGAAATCTGGGTTCCCTGGCTTATCTTGATACAGTGGTTCCTCAGATCTTTGTTACTGTTGGGTTACCAAAGACTGTGTGCCAGAATCTTAAGGCAGATAATGATGACATAATTTAGGAGCCCTGACTCAAGAAAATCCAAGGTCTCTATTCAAAGTACTCCTTAATGCCACTTAACTCAGAGGAGGCGCTGACTGCAGCTTGCTTTACTTGGCACTTCATCCTCTTTTTGTTCAGAGTCTGAGAACAGAGAGCAGTTTGTGCAGGTTTTCCACGCTTCTTTCCATGTTGTCCTGCAGCTGTGGAAGGAGGAGGAAGACTTGGAAGCATCCCCTGGCAGTGTGAGGCGAGCTGTCAGCATGGACACTGACTGAGGAGTAACATCCCTGTGCCACCCCTCTTTTGGGTGCCCTGGGAGGGAAAGGAACAGCAGGAGATAGAAGGGAGCAGAGAAACCAAGACAAAAGTTGGGGTCTGCAAGAGACATTGGGGAGGTTCCCCAGAGGGGAGGAGGTTCAGAAGAAAACAGAGACAGCTAAATGTCTTCACCCTCTTTGATTTGGTAATATGGTGGTCACCACAGGAGTTGAATTTTTTTAGAGTAAGATTTCTAGTACTTCTTCTACCATTTGAATTTATTCCTAGATATTTTTAAAGCTTTTATTTTCTAAAACTCATCAGTAAAAAAATTTCCCCAGTGCAAAAACAAAAGAAAAGGGAATACTGTTTTTCCAGATGATGTTATTGAAAAAGCAGGATTCCCTTGCTTATTTAGAGGGCCTGAACTGTTTAATTAGATTTCCATCATTGCATTGCTGTAAGCTGTTAGAAAGTGATGCAAGTACTTTCTGTTTCGGGAACACTAAAGTTACACTAATTCTATGTATATCAGCACTGTCTTCCATCAGAGCTGTCATACGAATATATGAAGAATAAATTGCACTCGTTCACCAATTTAAGCAGAATTCCCATTCTTCAAATCATTTCAAAGCATGCACATAGGAAGTTACTTGTGCAGCATATAGTGGCTAATCTTGAAGGGGACTGAGTGAGTCTTAATTCTAAGCCTCTGCTTTAATTGCTATGTTTTACATTATCTCTGTACATTGTTGACATGATAAAAATATAAATTAACCCCCCTCAACCTTAGTTTTCAGATCTTATTATTTTCTGCGTTTTCCATCTGTTTTGCAGTGTAGAGATGATGAACTTGATATTTCCAGTCAAGAGTTCTTAACACAAACTTATATGAATATAGTTAATATGGCCTATACTGTACAGATGCCCATTTGTCAATATCAGGATAGATATAATTAATAAGTACATACTTCCACCAGATTTCCTCTTTGGGGTTATCAGTTTTCATTCAAGCAGGGTCTAATTTTCCTGCATCACCTTGGCTTCTTGCTAAGTTGATGGCATTTAAAAAAATCTGGTGTAAGTCATTACATTTTCCATGTTAATATACGGATAAATTTCCTGGTTTATGTATGTCATCTGCCATCTTAGAACAACCTTATACAAGTTCATGTTCATGCTCTTATATTAAATCTTACTTTTTTTGTGTATGCAGCTGCTGAATTCTCAGCTTGCTTAGAAATCTGCTTCTATTATGAAGATACATTTTCCCAGTATTAATTATGAAATTCAGTTACCAAAAGTACATGCTTAGCCTGAATATGTGCAAAAATACATTATTATCCATCATGGCCTAGATTTTCATAGGATTAACTATATTACCTTGTAATGGTTAATCTTTCCCTTTAAGACATAAGTTAATTTGTAGTGTGTATTTAATGTGCTAGTCCTTAAACACCAACTCCAAAATGTGTGTGTTGTTTTGTTGTTTTTTTCTCTCCACAGTTTTTGATGATGAAGAAGAAAGCAAGTTGTCTTATACAGAAATTTATCAGGAGTACCAAGCTTTGGTGAGCATTATTCACTGTTTGTGGCAGATTTCTGAAAAATCTTTACAATGTTAAAGTAGTATTTAGATGAACTTCTACTTGTTTTGTCTTTGTGTGCTAGAATTTTAAAATGCTGCCTGTTTTAAGGGTTATTTAGAAATCCTGAGTCATACTTTTTGTATGCATTTTTATGCTTAAACACCATATACATAGAGAAGAAACTTTCTCACAAAGTGATCCCTCTTACGCTGTGTTAGGTATAGTTCATTAGCATTACTATATGTGCTAGCTAAAATATTGTACTTAAAAGCTTGATAATGTGAATATTTTCTGTTAAGTTAAAATGACAAACAGCACGATGTCTGAGAACACAGAACTTGTGTTCATTAAAGCAGCTGGCACATCTCTTTGAATTAACTTTCAAGTTACAGAAAAAACTACAGGAGATCTTTGGAGCATGCCTAAAATACCTGTAAACCAATGCACACAGATTCCTAATTGGTTTTGGTTTTTTTGGTTGTGTTTTGTTTTGTTTTTTAATAAGGCTTGGTAATTAATATTTTATATTGAAAAGCATTGATTAAATAAATACAGACCAACATCCTCTTACCCCAAGGGGTTTCAGGCACACAGTGTGAAGCCTTTTATCTACGAGGCAAAAAACGATGAGGAACATCAGTCAGGAACCTGGTGAAGAGGTAGAGAAGTGAGATTCTTGGAAATTGGAGAAACTAAATTAAGTAGTAATCAAATTTACCAATAAAAATGATTATTTTGAACAGTTCATGAAAGTCAATAAAACCTGACCTATTGGAAAAATCGATTTTTCTTTAAGTTTAAAAAATACAATGTCAGCAGAAAAGGATAAACAATTATTTAAATAATCATATGATTCTTAGGGAAAAGCCTCTTAGATAGTAATACTTTCTTACAGGTTGAAAAATTATTAGAAGATTATCTTAAAGAAGTTGGAATTAATGAAGAGAAATTTCAAGAAGCTTTTTCATCTCCTCTTGCAAGGACACACACTTCACAGGTAATTTTTCCTTTGTTTAGGGATATATAGAAGCAACTTTTAGCTTTATATCATCACTAATATAGCAGAATGGAGATAAAACTTCAAAAAGTTTTGTTGGTAAAACTGTAGTTTTCTAAAACATAATGTATTTGTTTATATTACAAACTTTGACCAGAAAAAGGTGCATCTTGAACTTAATGACAGATGTTTTGGTGGTGTTGAACACCTTTTGAGATTTCTCTTCTATTTTCTAAAACAAACCTAAGTTTAGGCTATTTCTGCCACCTTTATTTGCATTTTTTTCAGAGTTATGTTAGTCTTCAGTCCCTTTACAATAGCAGACAAAGATTAAAACAGTAGACATTTTCCATAAAATAAAAGATTATTTCCTCTGGTTTTATAACAAAACAGTAAAATCTGTAAGACAATCATTGATCTTGAGAAGACAAGACATGGTTAGGCAGCCCTTCACCTGCTCAAAGGTAGCTTTCAGAACTGTCTCAGTTATATTGGGCAGAGGAGTGGGAGCTTCTGCTGCCAGTTTACATTGGGCTTTGCTGACAAATCTTCCCCTAGGTGTGTAACAAGCCCCTTCATAGTGCATATTCCTCACTCAAGCTTATGAATTTGTTCAGGAACTCAAATGAGCTGCAGTTGTAAACTTACACTGGGAAATCCTCCAGGTTTTGTGATAATATTATTGTAGGCACATTGTTCCAAGACATAAACCATCCAATTCTGTTCATGACTATTAGCTCAACTTGTATGTCTGGAAAAACAGACAGATAGGAGAATTAAATATAGTGATTAAAAATGTGCTTCACAGAATTTAAATCTTAATACAATTTCAGGCATACTGAGATGGTTATGATTTCTCCAGGGTTTTAAATTTTGTGCATATCTTCCCTCCTACAGGCCATTTTGCAAACAGTGTTGGCAGCAGAAGATTTTAGACTATTTAAAACAATGATGGTACAGAAAAATATTGAAATGCAATTGCAAGCAATTAGAATAATTAAAGAAAGAAATGGTAAGAAGTGGTAAATGTGGGATTTCACTTCTCTTGATCTTTTTTGCATTATTTTGATGACTGTGTAATCTGTTCATAACTGAGTGTAGAATACTGGTTCAGTTCCAGTTCAAGTTAATGGAAAACATTCAGTTGATTTTACTGAGTCTAGGATTTCAGTACTTAGTCCTTGGCTTGTATTCTCAGTGAAAGCTGTCTGTATTACTTTATATATTTACAGATACTTCAGTTCTGGTTTTATGTCTAAGTTGTTCTGTGAAACTTGACTTAGTTGTTGGTTTTTTTTGTCAAAGAATTTGGGTGATGATTTTGAGTGTTAAAGCAATTCTAGCAGTTCATCAACAATGACAGTTTGAATTACGCTACTTGCATAGCAGTGACACTGTCCTATCTGCTGTGCTTACTTTGCAAATCACACTGTAAAGCTGCATATGGAAAATCCATGTAGAAAGCAGAAGTTAGGGCCTTCATCATGCTCATGCAGACACACTTTTAAAGAAGAGAAAATACTTTACACCCAACTTTGCTGCTCTGTTGGTGTTGCTGAAGGGATTTTCTTTTACCCACTCCTGTCTTCCATGTCTTTAGTTTTGCCTTCTATTTTTCTTTCTCCTCTCTGCTTGAAGAATGATGCCAAATGGAGAAGTTAATTTTCTCATGAGTAATGCATAATTTTTGCCATATTTTTCTTATAGGTGTGTTGCCTGAATGTTTGACAGAGGGTACTGATGTATTCAGTGAAATTGAACAAGAAGAAATGAAAATACTGAGGGAGGTGCTCAGGTAAAAATGAATCAGTTCTGCTTCATACATTATTTTAAAATAAAAAACCGAAAGTATGAAGGGCCTGACTCTTCCAGCCTTTTTCAGGAAACTGCCTTCATCTTACAGATGACATAGAAGTTCTTATCAGAATCCTGCCTAAGAAAAAATTAGTGGTGCTAGGCAGTGGGTGTATTCACAAATATTTAAAGACTGAGACATAATGGCTCCACCATGAGTCTTGGTGATGCATGGAATGAGGTGCCATCATTGTCCTTCTCCCCTGAATCTCCCAGCAGACCTAGTTAGATCTGGGCAATAGAAGCACACTCTCCTTAATGCTGTGAGGGAACACCCTAACCATTAAAACCTTGGAAAAGCCAATTGTGTTTTCGCGGTAGGCTTTAATCCTTTCTTTGATCCTTACATTCTTAGTTGTGTTCAATGACAGTTGCTATGATCTACGAAGATGTGTGAGGACTGATACAACTTCTGTAGATTCTCCTGCACTCCCAGTTCACACATCTATAAATATAATCTTAAATAATAGAATAATCCATTCAGGTTATATTAAATTATGCTGTTTTACCTCTGTATTCTGGAAATACTTCCTGTCTCTAAACTAGCAAATGGAAACATGGGACAGATAAGCCCTGGAAATTCTTACACAGTTGTATTTGCACAGGGAATGGTAGACTGAAGATGGTGGGTTCTGTGTGCTTATTATAATTCTTTATTTCTTTTAAGAAACCTTTGTAATTCAAGTCATGGAACTATTCAGGAGACTAACAAATTCACATTACCTTGTAATTGTTTTGATAGCGCTTAAATATTTAAGCAGTGCTAAATTTACCTAAAAGTTATTTATGCTAAAAATGTCTTGAGTATTTACTTGTATTTTGTGTTACAGGAAATCAAAGGAGGAATATGACATTGAGCAGGAAAGGAAAAGGACTAATGAAGTGAGTATCTTACCTTTCCAGATTAATTATGCTGCTGATTAAGAAATACTCTGATATTGCTGTCCTGGGTTATCGACTGCATCTCTCTTTAGGGCAATGTATAGCAACCATCCTAAGCAAGCAAAAGATCTGTCAGGAAGGTCTTAGCAGTGTTTCTTTTTTTGAAAGGTCTGTTCTGTTAACATTTTTTGATGGTATCATTGACACTAGTGCTACACATGATACCATTGACCACCAGCCATGTGGTGGATAGAGCTCATGATAACCATATTCCTCTTCAGTTTCTGAATTGTAAAATCCTGGTAACGGATGTCAGCCTTTCAGACCCAGAGAATATCTGAATTACTAATATTGTCAAGATCAAAGAGACTTCGAAGTATAAGCGTCTTAGAGATTACAGCATTCATAATCCTTCAGGAATTTTAAGGATCGTGTCATCCTCAGTATAGTTATTAAGTCTGCACAGTACTGTCAGAACCTAATCATCAGGAACCAGAAATCCTTTCTGAGTTAGACCATCACTTGGTCTCCACCAGACTAAGCCCTGAAGAAAGGTAACTGAATGTAAATGGGGACTGGCTGAATTGCCAGTTGTTCAGCAACTGAGAAAGAAACTGAAATTGGAATTAACTACAGTGGAATCGTGGCAATAAAACCTTTCACTGGAAAGACAAAAATAGCTGGATTTGTAGGCTGTTTCAAAGGGGAACAGAATCACTCTTCTGTCATTAGGAAACTGAGCATGCTAAATCTGAAAAGAGAAAGGGCTGTTTCTGCAGCCTGAGCTGACGAAGGAAACCACCTGGAGACCAAATGTAGCTACTACAGAGGTCAACACTATTTCCAGTTCTACTCCCCAGTTCAAACCCCTGATAGGTGCAGATGACAGCTGTGCTGCTGAGTGCAAGTCCTGAACAGTTGAGGTATTCTACCAATTAAACCTTGCCCCAGAGTCTGACACTATAGAAAAGTGGTGACAAAACTCTTATTTTCCATATTACAATGTTAGATTCCAGGAAGTGAGTCACCTGCTCTACTGGATTTCTTACAAATCAACAGGGAAACCTGAGCTTTGGCTCATTTTAAGAATTCAAGTTCTTTTTAGATGCAAGCTTATCCAAGTCTTTCTAGACCAGCCAAGAATATCAGTATTCTTGACAAACAAGCCAGATCGAGAGGTCCCAGTCAAGTTCACCTGGACAGAGAAGGTAACAGTTATTGTTCAATAATAGTTTTTGTTAGAAAATGGTTTAATACCATTAAGATAATGGTAATATTTTTATGAATGCTGGGGGGTTCTGATGTGAATTAGATTGTTGATGAACAAGCATAGACATTTTCTGGGCAAATCCCATCTAGCTTTACTACTTTCAGATGTGGGTTGCATGCCAAGACAAGTGTAGAAGTGTAACAATAGTGTCAGAGATTATCCAGACCCGTTGTTTCTGTTCAGCTGTTTATTAGTCTGTTTCTGTGGTAACTTCAGTGTATGCTACTGGTTCTCTTATTGTATGATGTTTTTCTGGTGGACAGACATCTAAATGAAAGTCACAGGCAAAGTGTGACATTACATTATCTATCTTACATTATCTATTGTAGCTGGGAAACAGAATACCAATTTACTTAATATTCTAAATTCTCACTGTTGATTAGGGAACAGGTCTTGAACAAAAAAAAATAAAATTGCTGATTTATGACTAGATCTAGTAAGAACCTTCCTGTTAGTAAAACAAAACAAGCACTTTGCTTTTGTTCACTTTGACAAAGCAGTAGGTAGTGTAAACAACACAATTTTAACTGAAAGTTCTTTTGGGAGAAGTTGTTCTTTGTGGAGCTTTCTTTGTGTTGACAGTTTACTGCCTCAAGTACAGTGCCAGGAAATTTAATGCTTGGTTTTGTTTGTTTTTTAAATTTAAGGCACGTGATAAACTTAAATCATCAGATGTAACCCACAGTTTTCCAGGAAATTCAAGAGAAGCTGTAAAAGTAAAGGCATCCTCTGAGGGAGCTGGTGGTTCTGAAGAAACTCCAAAAGTTTCATTAGGTAATTTTATGGGGAAGTGCAGTGCTGAGTGTGGAATACCATACTATTTTCCAATCATAGAAGAGTCCGTTCGTATCAAGATTTTCAGAACTTGGCTGGATAGGGCTGTGAGTAAACAATCCTAGCTTTGACATTAGCCTTTGAGCAGGGTGTTTGCAAAGGGTGACCTGCCAAAATACCTTCAAACCTGAATTGGTTTACTCAGGTAGATTACTCAATGATGTTAGAAGTCATCTCCAATTGGATGAGAAATACAGGAGTCTTAACAGCAGTTTTCAACTTTCAATTTACTGTGCTTATGGTGCTGTAGCTGATATGAACCCTGTGTTCCCAATAGTTCACTTTTGAAATTATGCTTTCTCTCCCTGTATATGGCCTTTATAGATTTAATTTATAATTGTACAACATTTCTTGATAGCAATCAAGTATTTCTGAAGGAACTAAACTTAAACTGTTAGTATTCATTCAAGCTGAATTTTCAGACCACCAAACTGAATCTTTTTGCCTTTGGTTCAGATTTTTGTAACTCATTTTAATCTCTTAATTTTGCGTTTTTATTTTTGGGTAGGATTGTGACACTTAAAAATTTAGAATACCGAGTAGAGCTCTTTTAAGTAGTCTTGAACTTAACCCAAGTTATGTATTGAAAATTGTCTGAATTGTTTTATAAGTGATTATTTATGGAAGAACAAGCCAGTGCTTTTACAGAGAGAAAAAAGGAATCACTGATAGTGATGGAGGTGCTCTTTGCATGTTTGTGCTGCAGCTGAAGCACAAGGGTGCTGACCTGATCAGCAAAGCAGGAAAATTCTTAGATGATAAGAAGCATGTATATGTGTGTATACATGCACACACATCTAGGTATGTATGTATATATACAGATACATATCTATGTCTATAGGTTGACATAGGTAGTCTTGAAAAAATGGTTGCATCTCAGTGGGATTTGCTTTCTTATGAGTTTGTGAAAACATTGTAACTTAATATTCCAAGGAAATAATATTAATATATACCAAGAATATAATTCCAGTGTTGGGAAATAGTAGTCTGGGCTGGTTTTAGTAGCAATTTTTTCCTGTGTACAAGTCTTTGTACACATCCACACTGGAAGTTTTCATATCACAGACACTTGAGCTGGGTACTTACAGCCTTGGTAGTACCTTTGGGGCATACTTGCTCCTTGGTTTTTTATTTGATGGCCGTTAACAGATGAAGTGGTTATAGGAACCTCTGTTCTTTTGAACTGCATTAGTGTCTTTCTCATTACAAACATTAAAAAGAATAACTTGTGTCACTGGTCTTTTAAGTATTTATTTATTTTTTTAACTCCTTTTATCCCTTCTGTTGTTTTGCTGTGGTTCTGTTACATTTATTTGAGCTGTTCTCTCCCTTCCACCCTCGGAAGCATGCAGCAGGCCTTGTAGGTGTACTCATACTTCTCTTCTCCCAGCCTGCTTTTACTCCTCTTATTTTTGCATAGTTGTGCCACCTTGCAGTGGCACCACCAAGCTACATCTATTCTGCAAATACTCTGCCTGCAGGACTTAATCCTGTGCTTGAGAGACAGGAGATGTTGGAGCTCAGGCATCAAGACTTCTCGGCAGTGAGTGCAGCCGTTCCATGCTGTCCAAGTGCCTGCTTGCCTGGTGCTCAGCATTCCCTTGCTCTTTAAATAGCAAATAAGATACAAGTCTATAAAAGTTTAGCTCCTTGGAAATCTTCATTGACCTTATAGAAATGACACCTTGAGGCATCATAGCTGTCTGTCCAAAGAGGGTACTGAGAAAGTTTGTTACAGCTTATCCTCTGCTATCACCTTTTAGAAAAGTGGTTTTTAGGTAGTGATGACAAAAATAAAGAAGAACCTGTTCTGGGAATCTACTTCTTCCATACCCTTTTCAAATCATGGACCAGCCTCCAGACCAGTCTGTTACTGCCTGCTTCCAAAACATGGGCTCCCAACTAAAGGTTAATCTTGGATAATGGAATCATGTCCTCTGTTTGGGTTGCTTCCTCTTGATGCTAGATACAACTCTGGAAAAAGAAATAGTAAGAACTTTCCACTAACACTTTGTGACCCTCTGGGGTGGCAGAGGATCTGCTCTGCTCTTACGTCGCTGGGTCCCTGACCCTCCCTTCCCACCAGACCTGTGCTCAGATCTTGGCGCCATGTTCTCTCTCTTTGGGTTGTGTTATCAAGGAACAGGACAGCTCACCTTTCTTGACCCAAGTATGTGGAGGAATCCCATACCTAGGGAGTGACAGCTGTCTCAGCAACACAGCCCTGGTGTGAACCAGTTTTCATAGTCAGGAAAAGGAAGAACTTTTCTTTTGTTTTTCATTCCCTTCAGTCTGGCATACATTTATCTTCCTTCGGACACACAGAGGTTTCATTATCTTTTGCTCTTTCCTGTTCCTCTTCAGACCCAAGATTTCAGTTCATGGACCCCTTGAAGTTTTCCACTCTATAATAAATTCAAATTTAATGGTAGCTGCCTTAAATTTCAGTTTGGTGAGCCCCTTACAAATAGTTTGCAGAATAGGGCTTGCAAACCCATTTCTCCTGTACTTTGACCACCCAACTTTCTGCACTACAGAGAAAGCGGAAGGGGGTATTTCATAGTAAAGGTCATTCTTGATCTTTTTAGCATTCTTGGAGAACACTTCCTTTCCTGATACGTGCAGGACTGCTTCAAAAGTTGCACTTGTGTTTGCAAGAGCTGCATGTAGCTCATGGAGAAGAAGGATGCAGCATCTGCTGGAGTCGCCCTGCTTCTTGCATTTTGAGAAGATTCTGAAGTAACTGTCCATGTGTCAAAAAGTGTTCCTTAGTCACCTGCAGCGCGAATGTACATATGGACAAATTCTCAAAGGATAAACAACGTTACATGCCAGTAACTAATTCTTTGAGCTGCGTTGTCTTTTTGTACGTTCATTATCCACCCTCCTTTCCTTCTCTTCTCAGGATCTCTGCAGGTTCATGGGTTAAGTGACACTGAGGGTGCTGTGGTCACAGCTGCAGGTACTGCTAGGACACAAACAGCTCCAGCTTAAGTGTTTGCCATACAGACAGCAACAGTGTAATTCACATACACACCACACATGTCAGAGAACTGCTTTCTGGTAAGCGGCTCTCCTGAATCATCACCTTGGTGATGGGGTAGGTATTTGGCATGCAGTCTGTGGGTTTTGGGTTTTTTTCCCCTCTGCTTTTTAATCAGACAGCCATAGTGTGAGGACTTTCTCTATCAGTTTTAACTCTGACTTCTCACAGAGCCTCTGAGAACTTTTATCCACCACACAAAGACATTCTTTGGAGCATCAAGACTTCCAGCAGTTATATATCAGTGAAATGCAACTTTTCCATCTTGACCTTTGTTTTACTTGTCCTGGTTTGTTTTCCATTCTTTGAATAACATTTCCTCTCCTTTGCTTTTCTCCCTACCTTTTCAGAGTCATGTGTCTTGTAATTTTCTGTACTGAAGAAAGCAGCAATGTTGAAATAGCTAAATGTATATCCCTTGCTCTAACTTAATGAAACAACCAAATGGTGTTCACCCTGCACTAGCTCCAGTAGAGCCACTTTGCCATCTGTCTGGTAGAGATCAAGGAGAGTACTCACACTTTATACTTGTGCAAGTTATTTTTCAGCAGTACAGCAAAAATCCATAGTCTGGCACTGTGGAATTGTATTCAGCTACATCCTGTTACGTGGATCAACTTGGATGTACAGGATAGGCTCAAACGTGACTGACACCGTAACATTTATATTTCATTACCTCTATTCTTGGATATTTTCAGGCATATTTTTAAATAGTCATAAGATGCCTCATTTTTAGTAAAAGTATAGTAGGAGCAGCAACTTACCATACTCAAGCCAAGGCAAGTTGTAGTAAAGTTCTGAGAAGAGACCCAGCTTTACAGTCTGGTTGAGGGGAGAGGCTGTGACTCTGACATCAGTAGTGGCGATCAATGCCACCGCAGACACCATGTAGTTGAGATATGAAGGGTACAGTTGGAATCAGTATCAGGCTACTTTTCTTTGTCAGCACAGGAAGCACTGGTCCAAGAAAGAAGCAAGGACTGTTGTCTTGCACAAGGTGAGAGGTTTGGTCGGCAGAGGGAGGCACAAGAAGCTGCCCCAGCCTTGTTTGTGCCTGGAGCTCCCCTGGTAGCCACCAGCCTGCCCCTCTCGGGCTCTGAGTTCTGCCAGTGTCCCAGACCTGCTGGCTCTGCTCAAGAGCTCTTGAGCTTCCCTTCCCCTCTTCTGTACAAGTTCACTTACAGTTATCTTTTCCATTCCTTTTTGTGAAGCTGAACCAGGATACCTGTATCTCAGAGTTGGCAGAGTTGCATCTTATGGCTGCTGCTGACTGGCTCATCTTGCCAAGACAGAAATTGGAAGTACAATCTCCATAGGAATTGTCTGTTGGAACACCAGATATGAAATTAGATTCCAAGCATTTAACAATTTATAATTCACTGCAGTACAGGCACTTACAATGTAAAGCATTATTTAATTGCATTCACAGGACAAATACAATATCTATGTTTTTTCAACGTTTTATTAATAAAAACATGATATATGTGATTTTTGTTTGTTTCATCAGAGGAGACATCTGGCTATTGGAGTAAACACCAGGTTTTTGGGGTTTTTTTGGGGGATATTTCTATTCTTTCTAAATGTTTTCTATGTAAAATTGTTGCTTAGAGGCATCTCAGAAAGCTGTGAGAGATGACTTAAAACCAGTACGCCCATCACCAAAAGGAACAGAAACCAGCCCTCAGCCATCTTCCACCCAAGGGAAAGAAGACAGCAAGAAAAGGTCAGCTGGAAAATGTTCAGAGAATGCAGCGCTGAAGTGTGGGATGAAAGGACCTGTAAGTTGGAAACAAACAAGAAAAAAACCCCAAATGTAGAACTAGAATGCAAAAAGGCAGGATTACCTTTGAACATATATTTAAGACCCTGTTTTACATTTAAATAGATATTTTCTGTTATTATAATCAGGTGGGGTTGGTTTGGGTGTTTGTTTTTTTTGTTGTTTTGTTTTTTAAACCAGCACGCAAACACTGGTTAGTATTATTCACCAGTTTAATGTTTGTAAATTCAGATCATCATTCTAGGTTTAGAATCAAATCCAGCTTTTGTCCTGTGATAATTTCTCGGCTCTGGCTTGAGACTTCCATGTGGACTTTTTTTCTCAGCTAGTAATTTTGGAGGCAAACATGATGTAAATGATTTTATCTCACGTAACATGCACATGGAGGCTTAAATTAAAGATGTATTTTAAAAAAAATAATTGCAGGATTTATCAGAACTTGAAAAACAGGAGCTAAAGCAACGAGAGGAATACCTAAAGAAAAAACGAGACACTCTGATGGCTACAAAGAAGGAGTCAAGAAACAACGTCCTGTTACCAGCAAACACTGACCAGAAGGTAGAGGAATCATCTCCAAAAGAGGTGAGGGATTCAAACGTTTTAATTATCCTGGCCATTTTATGAAGAAACACAGGTGATTCAGTGAAGATGTCAATGTTGACACTGAATATTGTGGCAAGATAAAATACAAATTGGTGGGGAGGCAGAGGCAGTATTTCCCAGTTACTGTTTTTACACAAGCTTATATAGGTTAGAAGTTTTAGTGACTAAGTTAGCAGTATTTTGCTTCAGTATCATAAAATCCGCATGATTAATTTAAGTTTATATATGGCTGAAATGCTGGTTTTCATCTCATCTGTGACATACTGTTTGGATTCCCTTAAATCTCTGGCATTTTATTTTTTTATCCAGCTGAAATGGAAAAAAAACACCAACATTTTTCTTTTGCAAAGTCTTATTTTAGGTAACAAATTTGTTCTTGTCTTCTGAGAGCTAGTTTGGGAAAAAAGGATTAAATACTATTGGGGAAAGAAAATACAGCCATTCAAAAAACTCCAGAATCCTATCACAGGATAAAGCCTTATTGCTCTAGAGGTCTTTATCAGAAAAAACCCAAACCTAAAATTCTTTTTTGTGTTAGTCATTGTTATGGTTAATATGACTTAATACATTTACCATAACTAGGTCTGGTCTATGTTTATATGAAATGAAATACTTGAAAAGCCAACACAAATGAGGAAACTAGTAGAAGGCGTTAAAACCCCCATGAAACAATTGACAGTTATGTTTAAAACAAAAAAGTCATGACTCTTCTTTAGGGAGCGTGTACTGAAGAGCAAGGACCTTCTGTTCCCTCAGGTACTTTTCAGAGTTGCAGAGCATTTTATTATGCTCAGAACATGCCCAAAGTGCTGTTAATGGGGGAACTTCCAGAACAACTAAGCACCACCAGTTCAAGCTGAGGTCGGTCGTCTTGAAAAGATGGCAGCAGTGTGGCAGAAAAAAGGCCAATTGATGTAAAGAGCCAGTTGTCTGCATCCTGGGATCTGCTTCTCAGGAAATGGAATAGTGATACTTCAAATAATTCTGGAGAGCATGTGAGGTTGCATGGCTGGCTCCTTGTTGGAGAAGCCGGGTGTGTCAGCTGGGTCTGGCTCCCTTGCTTGGGTAGCAGTCAGGGCACCTCCAGGACAGCCAGGCAGGGCACTGCAGTGTCTGTTCACTTTGTTTTTTAGGAAATGTCAGAAGAGAAGCAAAGATTGCTACAGAAGAGGAAAATGCTTGCAGAAAAACTAAAAGAAGAAGTTATCAATAAGCGGTAATTTTCAGCAGCTCATTGCAGTATGATTTTAGAATAAATTACATAATAATTGAATGGATTTGTTTTCCAATATCATACTTAGTTTTACAGAACTTTCAGACAAGCATCTCTGTATTTTATATAAAAATATTTAAAATTACACTGCAATACACTAAACCCACTTAGTTTTTCAGAATGCTGGAAACTCACTTACTTTCACAGGGACATGTTTGACAGTGTGGTCATTAATCACCACTGCAGCAAACAGCTTTTCTGAGCTACTGGCCTCAGCCACTTGACAAAGCTGATTCTGAGACCTGTTAAAATAATGTCAACAGTTCTGAGTTTTAACTTTTTTATTTTAGAAATTATAGAACTCTCTTCCTTTTATTAGAATGTTATTAAAAAATACTATTTTTCAGCTGTGCAATGTGAATAAAGTCTAATTTCACAAGGAAGTACAACTATGATGCTCTTTTTTTGAGAAACAGATAACGCAGCTTTAAGCCAAAGCATTAACACATCATCTCTGGATTGTTGTTCTGTATACTTTTGGGACACTTTACTGAGTCCTTAGCTCCAGTTTTGCTGTAAATGCACCTTAAAGTAAAAATAAGTTGAAATCGGCAGTATTTCCATTTGTTTTTGCACAAGCTTATAGGGTAGAACGTGACTAAGTTTATTTTGTTCCAGTATCATCAAATCCTCATGATTAAGTTTAAGAAGAGCTAAAATGCTGTATTTCTCCTTTTTCTCTTCATCTGTGACCTATTTAGACTCCCTTAAATCTGTAATTTTTTCTTCTTCCAGTGGAAGTGGGGAAAACATTTCTCTTTTACAGGGTTATTTTACAGAGGTAACAGATTTACTCTGTTGAAAAGAAAAAGCTGAAATACTTTGAGTTGCAAAGTAGGAGCTCAGGATGTCACGAGCAACTCGTTTTCAAAGAAGAAATCTTTAAAAGCCCTGTTGACTGGCTTGGCTTTGGCAGACTTAAAGTGAAGCTACTTAAAATGAACGAGGGGCTCCTCTGCATGATGATGTAACACCACTGACTGCATCACTACCTCACATTACAAGAAAACACCCAACCCATTCAAGTTGCATGGTACTTTTTATTAAAATAGCATTTATAACTGATACATGTTGGCAGATGTTCTGTCCTTTTCCAAAAAGAGCGGGTGCAGGAGGAGCCCCAACAGGGAACACCTGCAGGCAACAACTCCAGGCCAGGGAATAGCATTGAAGGGGGCAACAGCCCCAGACAAAAGCCAGTTAAAAAGAGAGCTGCACATCACCTTCTACAGGGATTTTAGGGGGGTTTTATTGGTTTTAAAATGGGACATCTATGCCACTTTACACAGTCTTTTTCTAGTAACTATAAAAATTCATGACATTCTTGTTTTTGCTGTAGAAAAAACCCTTGTGTTGGTCTGAATGTGTTTTTAAGATACTTAAGGGAAGAGGCAGAGTGGGGGGGAGGAGTAGTTGAAGACCCTCAAAGACCTTCTTTTGGGTGGCTGCTACAGAGAAGCAGGACAACTCAGGTCCAAAGACCAGGGGACAGCATTTCAGCCCCAGGTGAATAAAGGCACGTACTCAGAACTCGCTTGAGTGGCGCGTGCGCTGCTGGAGGAAGTTACTCCTGGTTACCAATGGGGAGCAAGGACTCGGCAGGAAAACCAGATTATGTCAGTGGAAGAGTGAGCAAATGCTTCCTGGGATCCTCTGCGCTGGGAGCAGATGGTGCGTTCCATCACACAGATGACAAACACGAAGTCCCCTTCTTGGGAGCCCACCATGGCCAACATCACTGTCCCCAGGTCCACACACATCAGCTGTCACTGTCATCAGCACGCTCCTGTAGAGAGAGCTCAGACCTTCCCTTTGGGATCTCATCTAGTGGTATAGAGTGACTTTTAAAAGCACATGGATCACTAGTCTTAAAAAAATCCTAAAATGGCCACATTTAAAATTCGGAGTTAACTTACCATGTACAATAAACCAAACCAAAGCAGTAATTATGGAATTACAGGGTCACATTTTAATTCCTGAATTTTACAGTTCAGCATTAATATCACCACATGTATACAAATGGTGTAAAACAAGTACAGTGGTATTTTTAATACAAAATAAACTTCTGTTTTATGGAAAAAAACTATACTTCATATCTACACAGACATCCCATCTTTTTGCAAACAATAGCTAAAATTAAAATTACCTACAAAAATCTCCAAAACAGAGAAACTGCTTCAGTTTAAACTATTCCAGGAGAAATGGACCCATAACATGTATTACAAGAGTGATCTATGTGGTGGATTGCAGCTGGTTTCGAATTTTAACATTTCTGACACATTAACTGTCATTGGGACATTTCCTCTCACTTTGCAGTGATCTCAGATCACATATGGGCAAACTAACATTAAAATATTTACAGTTCACTCGCTGCTCTTGAAAATAAAACCTGGACTGTTTGCCTCTATCAACTCACCTATTTGTATTGCAGTTTGCTCACCTACTATGTGGAATGTGCTTTTGTTTTTTAAAAAAGCAGCTTTCGTGTCACACCCCGACTTGGGTGCTGCTTGTTGGTTCTGCCTCAGAGACTGATGTTCTGTTAATTCCGGCTTGGTCCAAAATGACTTTGGTGTTAATTCACTGTTATGCAAAACTCATTAGTGTTTCTTATTACCACCTCAATGAGGCAACTGAAGTTCAAGAGCAGAAACTCTCCTTGCTGCTCCAAGGAGACAGCTCATTCCACAGCACAAAGCAATTCCAAGGTGGTACCTTCCACCCCAGGAAGCCAAGGGCCAGTCAGATGTGCCAGGTACAGCACTGCTTGGACACCAGCAGCTTCTGGAGAAACTATGGAAGCCATTGCTTCTTGGCATAGATCTTACTGGATGTCTCAACTTGGTAAATCCATGTGCCACTGTTAGAAGGCATTGGAATATTAGTACAGAGATCAGGAAAAAAAAAAAAAAAAAAAAAGCAAAACCATCTGTTTGAAATCCAGCTTCCATTTTCTCCTCTTGAAAAAGACAAAACTTAATTTTTAACTGTTTTAAACGACTGAACATGCACTATAACTGCAGTGTCCCTCCCTCCAACCATGACAAATGCGATTTCATTGGTGATAAATGGTCCCCAAAACTTGGATTGTTCTTATGCAAAGTTAGTTTTCCCTTAGATTTTTTTAAAAAGAGGCATTGCTAAAATAACAACTGACAGCACCATTACAAAATTAAGATTACTGGGTTCAAAATTTAAGCTTGAATTTTTTTCCTAGTTCTGTTAAACACTGAGGAAACCCTGCAATATTTTTTAAAAAGTGTTTACCATACCTTTCCCTCCCCCTGCCCTCCCAACACCTGAGACTTTCCTTGCTAAGAAGCCATCATCCAGGTTCTGTGAATACTAACCCACTTTTTTTTTTTTATTTTTTTTTTTTTTTTGACAGCCCGAATGGCAGACTCCTTACTTACTAGAAAGATATTAAGTTCCTTGGAAGCTTTGTGTTTACAGAACTAACCCTTTCTAGCTGATACACTGAGTTTCTTTTGCTACTCCTTGTATTATCTTATATACTCTTGGGAGAAAGCTTTCTGAATCAAGACTCTTTTTAGCTCTTAAAACAGTTGCAGCATTTGAAACCCCATAATAAAAGTGTTTATTCCAAAGTTTTGGTTTCATTTATGAACCCAGACGAGGTCTTTTCCTTGGAGATGTCTCCTCCTCTTCATCATCATCTTCATCATCAGGATAATCCACTAGGCCAACTAGACTTCCCTGCCAATTAAAAAAGAAAAAAAATAAAAATCTCATGTTGACAAATATCCCCAGGAATGTGCAGTTGTAGTACAGAGCCCCCCAGCCAGCCCATCCAGGACATGCCAGCCTGCGGAGGGTTTCTTGGTGATGCCTTTTCCATGCAAAGACCCATTTGTCTTGAGAATGTTTTTGAACTTCAAGGTTAAAAAAATGCTAGAACTTCCTTGCTCCTCTGGATCTGGCCTAAGAGTTATTTAAAAATCACTTTTTAAGCCCCCAACTGGACAGTTGCAAAAATGCACCATGATTCACTGCACATCCATTTGGCTGGGAAGTCTTAGATGTGCAGCACAACTTTTGGCCACACTTCTCTATAGCCTTTCAGGAACTCGCAAGCTAAAGATTAAATTAATGCATGACCAGGTAACTGTAATACAGGCACCACTTACTGTACTTCATCTGCTTAAAAAGACCTTATTAATTTCCTGACATGGGGAGGCACTAACATAATTCAGAAAAAAACATAAATCACACACAAAGCAGCAACTGGACAGTTAAAGCTGAGGAGTGGGAGCAGTTAAATTAGGAAGAGGATGCAAAATGAAGCCAATAGATGCCAGTCCCACCTGATACTTCCTTAAACCTTCCCCAAAACTAGTAAGGGATTAGTTAAGTTTGTAAGTAAAGAAGACAGCCTGCCTAGAGGCTAATGCTAACTCTACCCCAGCACCACCCGTCTAGTCTCAGGACACCGCTGCGCTGCCCAAGCCAGGCCAGCAGCTTTTGTCCAGGTTCTCCCACCTTGGTGGCTGTCACTGCTGTGGTCAAGGTGGTGTTCTTTGAGGAGGAGCCGTTGGAGCTTGCTGGTGACGTCTGAGCTGCCACAGATTTACTGTTTGCACTGTTTGCACCATTGGCTGCGCTGGCTGAGTGGGAAAAAGTGAATTTGAATCCCCCAGCTGAAGTCCTTTTTGGAAGATTCTCTTTGTCTTCACTCTCCTTAGCTGAGGGACAAACATTTTCATACTTAATATAAGCTGTACACCAGGGAGTACAATCTACAGCACAATCACAGAGTAAAAGCTGCCTTTTAAAAAAAAAAAAAAAATTAGTCTAAACTAACAGCTCACCACCTGACCTCATCCACGTCATCTAAACTAGATGCATGTCTGAAGCAATATAACTTCTTATTTTAAATCCTAAACTAGCTTGAAAAGACATGTGAGGAATGAATTCCTTACTGACATG